GAGTTCTGGCGTGGAGCACGGAAACCTGCGAGAATTGGCCCTCGCCCGCATGAAGGACATGGGCACCGAGGTGAGGCTCAATCCGCAAGACCCTGGCAGGATGCAGGGAGTAGGGGCCCCCCTAACACCTTCCGCTGTCTTTGCAGTGCCGCGATGTCAGGACCAGGGAGGTGGGCATCCAGGAGATCCATCACAAAGTGCGGCCCTACCAGGTAACTGGTGGCTTTGTGTGTGGGGTATGGGGTAGACCCTAATTATCTCTGTGGATGGTATACAAATTATGGCCAGTTGCTTGTCCCTGTGAGTGCGATTCCCCCTTTTGGCCCACAGGTGGAGCTGGTGCGCAGGGACTACGTGGCCAATGGCAGCTGGGAGACATTTCTGTCGTACGAGGACCCAGAGCAGGACATCCTGATCGGCCTGCTGCGGCTGCGTCGCTGCTCAGCGGCGTCCTTCCGGGCCGAGCTCAAGGGGGGTGTGTCCATCGTGCGTGAGCTGCACGTATACGGCACTGTGGTGCCCGTCAGCAGCCGTGACCCCAGCAAGTTCCAGCACCAGGTGAGATGAACCCCCCCCCCCCCAAGCAGAAACGAACCCTGTCCTGCCACGCGGCTGGTTCTGATCACCACGTGGACCTCTAGGGCTTCGGGATGCTGCTGATGGAGGAGGCAGAGAGGATAGCACGGGAAGAGCACGGGGCCACAAAGCTGGCTGTCATCTCCGGTAAGCGCAACTAACCCCCCCGCCCCCCCCAGATGAATCACTGCTGTATGGCTGGATGGTTTTTATGATGGTGAATTAAGAGAAATGCAGACCTGACAGTACATATCCTATAAGAGAAGATCGCTCGTTAACAAGAAACTTTCCATCTTTTCCCCATGAATAATCTCTTTTAATGATGGTAATTATTGAACACATTCAGGTAGCAATTTTATATGAAAATCAATCTCTTTGGCCTTTTAGGTGTGGGAACCAGGAACTACTACAGGAAGATGGGCTATGTGCTGGAGGGGCCGTATATGGTGAAGCGCCTGGACTGACAGAGGGTCACATGACCACGGAGCGCCTAACAGGGAGCACAGCCTGTACAAAACACCCACAAGACCTCTTTACTGAACTGCTTTTATCTTGGAATGCAAACATATCAGCATATGATTAAATCTATTTTTTTTCTTTTATGTTGGTGAACAGACTGTCAATGATGCCTGTTTTGTAAAATGTTTCCAGGGTAACTGTGCTTTGCTTCGAACTCCTCAAAGACGCTTGTGTGAGGATAGGCTCAGTTGGCTTTCCTGGGCCCCATTTGTTAGGCGGGAGTATCAGAGGGTCCCATTGGCTAGGCGGTGCCCGGACAGGGTAACCGAGGGCCCCATTGGCTAGGCGATGCTCATACAGGGTAACCGAGGGCCCCATTGGCTAGGCGATGCTCATACA